CCACGACAAAAATATTGGGAAATTGGTTTTAAGCGTTCCATGATTTTAATTGAACATGCACTGCAATAGATATCTTTTTTTTATTTGCATGTTCATGCCCATGGGGCTAAATGCATATAGATATCAAGAAATAACGTTCAGAACCCCTCAAAAAGAGCCATTTAATTGCATAGGACACTCCAAGACAACCAAGTCTTATTCTGTGTAACTATGGCACTGTTTTAATATTCCTCGACCCCTTGGATACATAAGAATTGATCCGAATGATGCAACGTATACTAGTTCACTGTTTGCTAAGTGTATGTACTCTTCTTATCTTGTCTTGCTCCAATAGTTACATGATAAAATGTTTGCACCATAGGTCACTTTTTGTCAACTAAGCCAATATTAAGGCAAGAAACACTTGGAAATCTTTAAGTAATATACGCTATAAATGAGCTATACATGTATATTAAAAGCTAGCGGTGTTGAGCCGTGCAGACAGAGGCATTGAGCCCTGTAGGCCCCGGGGCTGCAGGCTGACCTGATTTTTCCCCGACCCAGACATGCCAGATGAGCGGGTGTTTAACCTAAACACCCGTTTATCAAATCTATCACAGATGACAGAACATTCTGACGGGTTTTTTTTTTTCGTCTTGATGCATGTACGTAAACGTGTCGTCGGCGACAGACTTGGCGTCCCCTGGCCGCAGTTCATTATTCTTGACACGGCTAATGTTACGTGAATCAACCCTTTTCTGTGCTGCTATTATTTTTTGTGTAAACAAAACAGTCCACTAGCACCCACTAGTAGTACCGGCCCCGGTCCCGGGACCATAACAGAATGCCCCAGGCCGGAACGGGGGCGTTGTCCCGAAGTACGGTAGAAAAAGTTCGTTTGGTTCAACAAAACTCATGCTCAAGTTAACATTGTCCTCCAAAAAAAGACAAGGCTGCAGAGTTTTGTTTCCAGCGGCGATGTCCCTGAAGCCCGGCCCGGCCGGCTTGGCTTGGAGCCCCGCCAGCCCAGTGTTTACACGGCAAATAATAGTACCTCCGGCCTCAGCTAGTTAACATCCACAAACGTTTACTTCTTACAGCACACTGGAGAAGTTGTCGTGAAACACAGTGCAAGATTATATCTGAATTTAAAACGCTATATGACGGAATGTTAGATACGATAGGACAGAAAACTTACCCAGCTGGCCGGAGCCGCTTGCACATCCAGATACCAAATACGCCCAGCTGATCCAGGGCCTAAACACAACCATATTGTCTTTCTAGCTGCGGGTCAGCGTTCTTGGCCCTCTGGCCGGGTACTACAAGGCAAAAGCCGACCCCCATTGGTCAAACAAGTAATCGAGGTCGGACGTATAACGCCAATAGCTGGCAATCATACTTGAATGGGTTTTGTATCACTCCGCGCGAAGACTCGCCGTGGGCCCTGGGGGGACAGTCATGCTCGAGTGACGGTGTTGAATGTCCGGTGCTCCCATTCTTGCCGTGCTGTGTGCCCCTTGCCCCAGTTTAGCCGAAAGGAAACGGCGTCCCTTCGACCTACATGCAAGACATGCAATCCGGGAGGATTACCCAGTTATCTAAGGATTCCAAAGATGGGTCAACAGGACTCTTCGCGAAGTAGACCTTAATTGAGTTATTTGAACTGTCAGAAATCGTTCGAATTTGGCGACACGTGACGGCTTCAAGTAATGTAGCCTCCTCTACCAGACTTCGAGAAGCGACTGAAAGAGTAGTAGAAATTGGCCAAATAGAGATATAAACATGCCCCGAAAGTTGGCCCGCTTGCAAACTGTACTCTCTAGCGGACCAACTTTCCTGGCATGTTATCTCTGTTGTAATAGATCTATTTGGCCGATTTCTACTATTTCCAGCCACCTCACGAAGCCTGGTATAGGCTAGCAGCTTCATGATAAAAACTCTCAGGAGGATGGACTACTCTAGCTCCAAACGGAGGTTAGACTTCGGCATAGTTTTGGACGTGTTTTCTTTTTTGTACCGGTCTCTTTTTTTTTTAACGCCAGCCAAATGGACACCGCCCTGCCAATTTGAGTCTCAAAAGTTCTGTTCGTGGATTGCTTGAACCTCAAAATTACAAAATTAATGTTTTTATCAACTTACTTACATGTACTTCTTTCGGAGCAAAAAGACGACTTTCACGTTCTTATATTATAAATTACATGAATGTCTTCACCTTTTTATAATTCTTTCTACCAATTCATCGTTTCTTCAACTATACCATTTACTTGTTAAATGGTGCTAGTATTTTTGTTCACGCTTTTTGTCAATATTCGAGACAGATACGATCAATCACCTTGTCTCTTGAAGCTTATCTTGTGTCTTGATGAGTTTATCGCCAATGGATTAATCGGTGTAATCCATTATTTGTGTGATGACACAAGTACTTTGTTACGCATGGTCTACTGTGACGTGTAGACACAGGTGTGCATAGTTTACCTTTACTTAGGCCCTGTTCATATGAAGTCAGCGAAGGCGCTTTACATGTGGTTTCCCCCGAAGCCGGTTTTAAGTGGCCCCATCTGAACGCTCCAAATCGCATTGTAAACGCCTCGATCCCAAACCACTTCTAGAAGTGGTTTCGAATCGGTTTTTCCGCATCGCGATTTGCCTCTGAACGCCAATGTGATTTCAATGTGGCTTCACCTAGTCATGGATTACGGGGTGATATTTCTTTATATGCAATACCAACTTTTACGTGGCGCGTGCGTTACGTTTCAAACGGGTCAGCAATCAACTGTGGTGAAAGCGTGGCCTTGAGGGGAAATAGGCTGGAGGATTGAAGAGAGAGATTCTGACGTCTACACGAACAGGCTCAATGTTAGATTACACAGAACGGTTCGCTCAGTGGAGATCTATATTAAGGCCACACCAAGTAAATTTTATGGATGACGTCCTTTGGAGACCCTAAATCTAATGCGAGAGGGCGAAAAAAAACAAGAAGGGCCCTAAAAACAAGATGCCTAGATTAGAAATATACTAAGAGGCGACAAATGTTAGGACACAAATTGAATGAGGTGACACAGCGTAACAAGCATGAAGTCTTTTATTCATCATCAAAACAGCAATAAATCAGGTGGAACAGTGGACAGTGAAAAATTTTCTGTTATTGACAGGATGGTCCTGTCAATAGAGCAAATTTTCTGTTATTGACAGGATGGTACTGTCAATAGACACTTTCTTCGCGTTACGGGTTTCACGTCAATCTGACGATTTGCGGCACTGTCGTGACTCTTTGGTCATAGTTACAGGAAGAGAAACTTCTTTTTTTTTTTTCCAGGAAGAGACCAAAATCAATGCGCGCGCGGACGTCATCCATAAAATTTACTTGGTGTGGCCTATTATATGCAATACCAAATTTTACGTGGCGCGTGCGTTACGTTTCAAACAGGTCAGCAATCAACTGTGGTGAAAGCGTGGCCTTGAGGGGAAATAGGCTGGAGGATTGAAGAGAGAGATTCTGACGTCTACACGAACAGGCTCAATGTTAGATTACACAGAACGGTTCGCTCAGTGGAGATCTATATTAAGGCCACACCAAGTAAATTTTATGGATGACGTCCTTTGGAGACCCTAAATCTAATACGAGAGGGCGAAAAAAAACAAGAAGGGCCCTAAAAACAAGATGCCTAGATTAGAAATATACTAAGAGGCGACAAATGTTAGGACACAAATTGAATGAGGTGACACAGTGTAACAAGCATGAAGTCTTTTATTCATCATCAAAACAGCAATAGATCAGGTGGAACAGTGGACAGTGAAAAATTTTCTGTTATTGACAGGATGGTCCTGTCAATAGAGCAAATTTTCTGTTATTGACAGGATGGTCCTGTCAATAGAGCAAATTTTCTGTTATTGACAGGATGGTACTGCAAGAGGGGGTAGTGATTATGAATTACGCAAAATTTTCGCCGCCTATTACGAATTACGTTAAAGTCTCAGAGCTGGTTACGACTTTACGATTTGCGGCTAATGTCCAATTACGACTTACGTTGATGTTTGTGGAGGCTGCCTACGAATTACGAAGTCTAAAACGGCCTGATTACACCTTACGAAATTAAAAAGGGCTTGCAGGCCCTCTTTTAGTCCTGAACTGATCTTTAGGACAAGATGCAGTCACTTGTGAAGGCCTGTCGACTGGAACATTCTATTTTCAGGGCAGACAGTAACGTTACTATTACCTTTGGCCACTGAAACAAGTCCTCATGAAAAGTACTTTTCGTTTGATTTTGGCAATCTACGACATTGGTATCGTTTTCCAATATTTTTCTTGTAACTTACGGTATATATTTGCTCATTACCTCCATGAAAAATGGAGGTATTGTTTTTGGCGTGTCTGTCTGTATGTCTGTGTGTGTGTGTGTGTGTGTGTGTTTGTCTGTCTGTCTGTGTGTGTGTCTGTGTGTGTCTCCGCAACTTTGTAGTCAGCATAACTTCAGAACGCCTTTATGGATTGTGATGATATTTGGTATGATGGTAAGTCTTGGAAAGACAAAGGTCAATTAAGGTCAAGTATAGGCCTCCTGGTGATGACCTTGGTACTGCAGCAGAACTTCCGGTTTTTGTATCTTTTGTCCTGAACAAGCTATGGTCTTGACTCTTTGGTGACAGATAGCTTATTCTGTCAGGAATAAGTGGCGTAAGTTTAGTCCCCCTAGCAGCTTGTTCTGGAACTGCAGGTTAGTTTCCGGTAAAAAACTTTCAAAGCCAATAAGTCCAGATTGGAACAACGTATTTTCATCATTTTTTGGCGTGTAGGTACCTGAGAGACAGTTGTACATGATTAAATGCAAATTATGCAAATGAGGGCTTGTAATAATTAATGTAATAATTAACAGCGTCATATTACGCCATAGACACTTTTATTACGTCCCGTGACGTCATTTTTATGACATTTCATTTAAACGTCACCAGTCACATTGCGTCCTTGGGTACTTCTTTTGTGACGTCATAATTCCATTGTACTTGCAGTTCTGGAAATTTCCTCAGCTATTCAGACGTCTATTTCGACCGTTCTGTATGAGGTGTTTTTTCCAGAGTTACTAATGACAAAATCATGATCAGCTTCGTGATTATATCCACGCTTTACCTGTTCGGCCTCGCCACCAGGATTTTGGGATCCATCAAGAAAGGTAAGAGCAAGTTTTCACGCCACTTTAGAGCAGTTTCTGTCCGCCGCGTTCGAACAACAGAACAAGGTTCGGCGACGTTCTGCCGAATCGATCTGTGACCGTTTCTGATCGAATTTCTGTTTTCCTCACAGCGTTGAACGCCGCCATCGGAGTCGAGAGATGTGACGTGCAGATTCCTCTGTTTGAAGAGCCACCAAGAGTCAATCTACAGGAGGCTGTGAAGAAAAAAACACAGCGCGGTGACTTGAACGGGCCTATAGCTACCGACCATGCGCCGGATACGAAGCCTGCAAAGCCCGTCGAACCCAGCACCACTGTGCGGGCTCCCGGTACAGCCACCGGCAAACCGAAGGGGACATTCGGCGGAATGAAAGCCGGCTTCTTGCTGCAGTCCCCGAAGAAACCCCAACCCAAGAAGGAGACCGCAGCGAAGGCAGACACCACCAAGGGCGGAGAGCAGGCTCCCACTGACCAAGCCGGTCAGGTAAAAGTCAGTACCTCTCACCAGAAACAAGCCGCTGCAAGCCCCGCTCCTGAGGTCGCTCAGCCGAAGTCTACCCACCAGAAGCAGGCCACTGCACGCCATGCCCCTGACGCCGCTCAGACGTCTGTCCGCCAGGCTGATCAAGATACGCCCCGCCCCACTGTCCCCATCTTCCCAGCCCTTGCTCAGGTCCGACCCATCCTGCTGCCGGTTCTAGGCACGAACCAGGTCCAGTTAATCTGGGACGGGAGCATCAGGGCTAGAAACCTCCTTCAGATGATCGTGGCGGCCAGGAGGGAAGCCGAGGGACTCTAAACTTCCCAGGACTTGAACTGTAATCTGATATTTGATGTGGAAGGGGATGGCTGTGAATGACTGAGTGAGTGAATGAATGAAGGAAGGAAGGAATAATGAATGGATGAGTGGACTGTATGTGAGTGAGTGAGTGAGTGGATGAATGAGTGGCTGTGAGTGAATGAAGAATGAATGAACGAATGAATGGATAGATGAATGAATGAGATAATGGCGAGTGAAGGAAGGATGAATGAATGAGCGAACGAATGAATGATTGAATAATAATGGCAACCTGATACATGTAGTAATAATGGGATGTAGATGATAAGATACAAAATAGCATATGCATTCTCTGAATACAGGGATGGGGATAGA